CTAGTCAAAAATGTTTCATACAAATGCATAGGCCTGTCAGCGTAGAAAGGTATCCGAACCTCTGCGGGAAGAAATATATACCGTATTTTTCGCCCCATAGGACACACCGGCCCATAGGATGCACCTAGTTTTTTGGGGGGGAAATAAAGAAAAAATATATATTTCCCCTCCCCCCCAGGTGCGGGGCTGGGGCGGGGGAAGCCTGAGCTTCCCCTGACCCCAGCCCCCAGAACAGGCTGCTATCCGCAAGCCGTGGGAGAGCTGCGCAAAGTCGCGCGGCTTTCCCACGGCTAGCGGAGGGCTGCGCGAAGCCCGAAGCTTGGGGCGTGCTGATCTCAGCATGCCCCAAGCTTCTGGGTGCTGGCAAGCTCTCTGCTAGCCGTGGGAGAGCTGCGTCTCCCACGGCTAGCGGATCGCTTCCTGAAGCCTGGAGAGCGAGAGGGGTCGGTGCACACCGACCCCCCTCGCTCTCTAGGCTTCAGTGAAAGCCTGCATTCGCTCCATAGGACGCACACACATTTCCCCTTCATTTTTGGAGGGGGGAAAGTGTGTCCTATAGGGCGAAAAATACGGTATGTGGTATATAAATACAGTATTTTTCACATTTCTTATATTCTCAGCCACAGACACCTGTTCATATTGTGGCATCCTTCTTTTACTACACATGTTTACCTTTACACTTTAAAATTGTTGCTCTTTTTTATTATTGGAAAAACAATGGAAACACAATGGGTGGTTGCAATGATTTTAAGGACATATGAAGCTATAGAAGTGAATCTAGTATAAATACATGACTAAAGACACAATAAATGGAAAACCTGTATCCAAAAATGATGCCAAGTCCTTAACTACACTGAAATCCCACAGGAAACCTATGAGGTCAGACACAGGTCAGACAAAGTCAAACCAGTGAGCTAAATAATAATATTATGGTGGATGGGAGAGATACAGAAGTTGACACATAGATAAGGCAGGTTCACTTGACTTCATGAGCTCTATGGAGGAAAGAAGCATTACTTCCGCTTGGCTGATCCTGGACCATTGTAACTTTTCTAAGTGTACATGCATTTATTAAACATGCTAATAGTCAATGATGTCTTATCTGTAAGTCTAGAGCAAATCAAACCTGCCTACCCTAATTTTATAAATAAAAATAAAAGGAAAAAAAGGCAGATAAAGATATCTCAGATAGTTGAAGGTGGTATGATAGATGGATCACTTCTCTATGCTATACTAACTGTCATCAATCGCAGTTCACATATTTTGTTCTGGACTTAGTTGCTAGTCATTATTTGTGATCACATTCGCTTCCCTCTGTCTCGAGTACTCTCTGGAGTTGGGAGAGGTCAGTCACTTACTTTATGCACACCTTTGGCAATGTTTGGCGGCATCCATAAACACTTCTTCTAATTTCTAAGATTGTCCCAAACCTGGAGTGAAATAAGACCAACGTCTCCCTTTCCTCTAATTTTCTATGCATGCCAGAGAGAATGGCTATCTCTCTCTTTCTCAAGCAGCACTGTGGGTCTTTGCAGACATCCTTTTTAGTGCACATTCATGATGATTTGCACTCTTCCTGCTATCAGGGTATCTTCAATACTATTGGTACCTGCAAGTGTTTTGGGGAGGTTGCACTACTTCGTTTCCAATAGTGTATATCCTGTAATTTACTTACACAGAAAAAGATGTTGGTTCAACTACATGTCTTTATGCCAATATTTGTAATGTTTCAAGTGAAACCTTAAGGGGTGTTTCTGAGTGGATTGCCTTTATCACAGGGTAAGGTTGGCTTTTGTTTTCTTTGTTTTCTAATCTCTGATTAGATGCCATCTAGACAAAGCAAATGCAGGGCATGGCAACACATTATAAAATGCATAACCATTATTATTTTAGAATGTTTTTTGCACACTTTAGCATACAAAGTGCTGTGTAATTCTTCTTTCATTCAAGGTCATGTTTTTAGATATTTGTTTCTCATTGGATACTTCAGTAGTGAGAGGATCACAGCTGATTTTTCTGAAACGTTAACTATGAAATGCTTTAGAATAAACAGGGCAGAATTTAACTACTATTCTTAGACTTGCAAGTACTCTTCATGCTTTTAGAGTACTTTGGGAATAACAAGAGATTTGCTGCTGTGTGTACATCATAACAACCTACATTGTAGGGAAGTTCCTCTTATCTGCTTCTTATTATTTAGCTGAGTGTTATAACAACAACTTGAGAAAATGCCCTTCCTATTTGTGAAAGGCTCTGTTTAGAAAGGCTTTCTAGTATTATACTAGTATTCTAGCATTATAAATTGAAAGCAGGCAAGGTCTTGAGTAGATTTCAGTGATAATAGGTTGGCCCAACAGGAGCCTTGCTCATATAACTGCTAGATGCTAATCAACAGGTTGATGATGAATCATCACTTTGTCATGGTGAGTGCGCTTGCACATTCCTATGATCCTTGTGAGCAAAGCCATCAAGAGTCTCATACTCCCAGCAGGGTCACCCATGATCCTACACTTTGTCAAAGGGGAACTCCCCACCAGAGTAGATATTATATATTGAACAGATGGAAAGCACTTTCACCTGGGTAGGTTGAAAGCAAAGAGTAAGGTTACCATAATTTCTGTCACAGAGCTTCAGTATGTTGATGACAACGTAGTGTGTGAACACTCAGAGGATGACCTCCAAACCATCCTAAGTATCTTCGCAGAAGTTTACAAAAAGCTTGGCCTATCATACAACACCCAAAAAACAAGCATAAAACAACCCCTCTGAAGCCATAAATCCAATTCAATAGTGTACTGTTGGAAAGTGTCAATCACTTCTCCTACCTGGACAGTTATCTTTCCACAAGGGCTGACATTGATGTCGAAATCCAGCATCACCTGAGCTCTGCGAGTGCAGCTTTCTCCCGACTGAAGTGCAGAGTGTTTCAGGACCAGGACATTCACAGGGGATCCAAAATGCTTGTTTACAAAGCTATTGTACTACCCACCTTACTGCATGCTTGTGAAACATGCACGACTTATAAAAGCCATCTCCAACTCCTTGAAGGATTCCATCAACGATGTCTCCAAAAATTTTTACACATCACTTGGGAAGACAGGCGAACTAATGCCAGTGTAATGGAAGAAGCAAAGATTAACATTGTCAAAGCAATGATTCTTCAACATCAACTTTGTTGAACTGGTCATGTTGTTCAGATGCCTGATTATCATCTTCCAAAGCAACTAATCTATTCCTAACTTAAAAATGGAAAGCGTAATGCTGGTGGTCAACAAAAGGCAACCTGCAAATCTAAAAAAAAAATGTAGTATAAACATTGACTACTGGGAAACACTGGCCTGCGAGTGCTCCAATTGGAGAACAGTCTTTAGCAAAGGTGTCATGGACTCTGAAGACACTCAAACTCAGGACAAAAGGGAGAAACGTGCTAAGAGGAAAGCACGTTTGGCAAACCCTCACTGTGATCAACCTATGTCCCCACTGTGGAAAGACGTGTGGATTCAGAATTGGCCACACAGTTACTTACGGACTCACTAAGACCATGTTCATGGAAGACAATCTTATTTGGCTACGAGTGATCACCAAATAAGAGAAGAAGCTAAACATGTGTTGGACCACCCTGTCTGCTGGCAAGCTCTTCCTAATACTGTTGTAGGATGCAACAATATCATTGGGCAGTTGTTTTATGGCATAATAAGTGCATCCTTGTATTAATACATTATGTTCAGGGAACAGGGAAAAACTAAAAATGAATGGCCCAGATCTATAAATGTCCATGTGCAACAAAGCATAGTTGTAGAACTACTGCTTTGAAGAGAAGTGGCTGGAGAAGTGGAATTAAATCTATATTGCACATCAAGCAGAGACTAGGGCTACTGAGCAGAACACACTGCATTATTTTAACACCAGTCAGTATATGAAAGGCTATCTGAAAGCCATCAGAGTAGCATAGTTGGTAGAGCATGAGACTCTTAATCTAATGGGTCATGGGTTTGAGCCCTATGTTGGGCAAAAGATTCCTGCATTGCAGCCAGTTGGATTTGATGATCTCCTTCCAACCAAAGGAGCCAACTTCTATTGGCCAATGTCCCTTCGCCTCCCAATAAAATATCTGAGGGAGCCAGCCCGCCCACCCCAAATTGATAAGCACTGCCATTCAAATGGTGGGTGGGTGCAGCATCTTGTGATCAATATTTTATTCAAGTTGGCACCCCTGCTTCCAACTTTCCAATTCTATGCTTCTGTGATTCTGCGGCCATCTGGGTTGTGTGTCCCTTTACTACCATGCATAGATGCCAACTCCCTAGGAGCACCCACAAAATTCCCCATAAAGGGGCCGGGCATCCACAAATTTTGGTGCCTGGGCCATGCACGCTGCATGGCACCCATGGCCCTGAGCACCTGCGGTCAAAGGGCCAAGTTGGCACTCCTGCTACCACACCCTAATTTTACCTCACAACTGAGATATTGAGATCGCTTTCGGCCACATCGCTATTGGGTTAGTGGGCAAAGCTATGAACATATGGCCTGTTCTTCTGAGCGTGAAAATTGCAATTAACAACTAAAAAAAAAAGTTTATGTACTTCCAAAAACACTGGCTGATTTTTTTGTTTTGTTTTGTTCGCCAAGCCACCGCAACGCCTGGGGTTTCTCTGGCTGGCGACAGGCAAGAGACCCGTCGTCCTTCCTTCCTTGGACTCTTCTCTTGGGCACCTTCCCCCTCCCCTCCATGGCAGAAAAAGCCAGCGAGGCTCCGGCTCCGCTTCTCACGACACCGAGCCGGCCGCTCTTCTGCGCCAAAGGCAGCGTTTACAGCTGCGGCAAGAAGAGGCCCGCGCGCCTCGGAAGGAGCCTCGCGCCGTCCAGGGAAGACGGAGAGAGAGGCAGAGAGCGCGCCGGCTCGCTTGCGCGCGACGCTCGGGCGCCCTGCCAGCCTCCGCCCACCCGGGCCCCTTGGCTCCGCCCCGGGAGCTGGCGACGCCGGCGACTCGTTCATCTCGCCCAGGAGCGAGGCTGGGGCGGGAGGGGGAGCGGGCAGGTTCCTTCTGCCTTCCGCGAGCAGCTGTCTCGCCCGGATAGGCTCGCGGAGCGAATGGGGCGGCTGCGCTGAGGAGGGGTCGGCGGCTGCGTGGGTGGATGGGAGTGGGGGGAAAAGGCGGGCTGGGCTGAGGGGTAAACCCAGCCAGAGAGAGAGAGAGAGACCCCGCTCCAGCTCGCAGGCGATGCTCCTCACTTGCTGCCTTGGCCGTCTCCTCCTCCCCCCGTCTTGGAAGCTTTTGTTCTTCTCTCCACTTTGGGGCAGAGGCGAAGTGCTGCAGCCGCAGCCGCCGCCGCCGCCGCCGCCGCCGAAGCCTCGGCTTCCCAGGTCTCTTGTCCGCCAGGAAAGTTCCCGGAGGCAGCAGCCCTCGACTCGCGCCTCCGCCTGCCCAGGACCGGGGCTTGTTATTGTTGTTTGGAGGTGAGGTTAAATCTCAGGGGGAAGAGGAGGAGGTTGGATGGGCAGGAGCAGATGGAGCCGCGTGTGGCTCCCTGGAGCGGGGCTGCGAACGGAGCGAGGGCGAGGGGCTCGAGCGAAACCTCGCCGCGATTCGGAGATGCTGGACTTGGGATCCTGCCCTCCTCCCCCTCCTCGCTCCCGACTTCATATCTTAGAGCACATGCTGCTAGGGGGTAGGGGAGGGGAGGTTGGATGTGATCTAGATACTCCTCCATCACCTTAAAGGGTAGATCTCTCCCCGCAGCTCTTTCAGTGCATTCTTGGGGGGGGGGAGTAGAGATGGGGATGCACGTTGGTGATGGTGAGTGTGAAATGAAGGGAGCCTTGGATTTACCAGTGTGCGCGCACATATATTTATACATATACATCCACACAGACACAGACAGGGTGCCAACTTGAACAAAATATTGGGGGGGGGGAGGTAAGCCCTGCCCTGCATAATCAATCACAAGACCCGCTTGAATGGCAATGCCCTTCAACTTGGAGTGGTGGTGGCCCCCTCTAATATTTTATGGGGGGGTGCGAAGACCTCTCAGCCCTTAGGAGTTGGCTCCTATGTATTCTGACTACAGAACCAAGGGATGGCATATATATATATATATATATATATATATATATGGTGGTGCTATATGGATGGATGTGTGTTGTTTTGCAAGGTGCCAGAGTACTTTTTGAAAACCAGGAACCCAAATTAGGACCAGATGGATTCCATTGCCTTAATTTATAAAATCAGAGGTCTGCAGTAAGTCCTAGATGTATTGAGGACTGACGCCTCAGACTTCGGCTTTGGCCTTTAATTAATTAATTCCTGCTAAACCCTCCCTGTCTCAAATTAAACTTTGTCTAAAACACCAAGGGCAACTGCAGCATCCTTGGCAGTGATTAAATAATTGGTGTGTTTAAGTCATTCGGGCACATTACTTATTCCTTAATACACTTTCACTATTCTCTGTTGCTACAATCAGAGTTATTAGAACCAGAGTGGTAGGGAATTGCATGATTCAGATTTAAACCACATTCCCCCCCGCCCCCGTGTGTCCTCCATGTTGGTATTCTGACTACAGAACCAAGGGATGGTATTTAGAAGTGAAATGATATTACTGTATGTACAAACTTACTGTTATGTGGTGGGTTAATAAGGGCTTTCAAACTTCACATACTTATGCTGGCTTTCCTGAAGTGGTGAAATATTGAATCCTGGTTAAAAGGAGAGGAAGTCCTTCACTTCTGAATATATGAGGTCCCTTAACCACATTTTTAAAAGCTGTTAAAAAGAGCTATAACAGAACAGTTTTATATTTTATATATATAAATAAAATACACACACACATATAAAACATCTGTATGTTGCTCCATAACATGAAGTTCTCTGGGTAGCTACAATAAATAATGAGCAGGTTTTTTCACTGGACAGTGTTCAGTGGGACTCACTCCAGTGTAAGTGTGTAACCCGGGAGTAATTCTCACTGAGCTTATGCATGTATGGACATGTAATGTAAAGCACTAATTTATTTCCTTAGCATGTGTTAAGTTTATCTTGTTTTTCTCCCTTTCAGTTTCTGACAGGTAAATCTGGGTTGACTTTATAGCCATGCATTCTGATTATTGAAAGGGGACTGTTTTCGTAGTCATTTGTCGGTAAATGTGAGGGGGGGGGGTTTGCAACTGCTTATAGGGTGAAATATGTATATTTTAGGAGGGCTGTAATTCAGGTAGGTGGTGAAGGCTCCCTGCCATCTTGTAAGGGAAAGTAAATTCACAGCTAAAATGTAAATGGTTGATTTGCTGGTAACTTCAGAACCAGGGTACTTCAGCTGAATTCAACAGGACATGCAATTAGATGTGCTTCAATCTAACCCTGTGAATGGTAATTGGAGCCCTATTTAGACCCATGGGATGTATGTTTCCTGCAAGTATGTCTTGCAGTGTAACTCTAGCCGGTGTGCATGCTACTGTATGTAATGTTACTGTATGTAATGTTAGAACATTTGAATGGTTCTGTATTTCCTTATTGCAAAGCTTTTTTCTGGTGGCAGCGTGGTTTGTGATGCCAGAATGAACGCAGTTCAAGTGTACACTACTTGCATATCACCACCTGTAAGTTAGTTATTTCTTAGAGTGTGTTGCTGCCTGAATTCATCCTTAGAGAGTTGAAATTTTACTGCAGCTTGCTAAAGCTGTAAATTCTGCAATGACTAAGGCCACGTATAACAGGTAGGCTCTTTGAGTAGGCAAACTAGTGAGCATATGCTTTTCTGTGTAGTATACCTTTTCTGCCTTAATATTTTGGTATGGGTAATAACTTTTAGGAAAAGAGTTTACTCGCATTCTTTGTACTGAGATACTTCATGGAGATAAATAAAAGGCAACTTGTGAAAGCAACAATATTGCTTTTTGCAGAACCGTGTTTTAATTTAAAGCATCCCTCCAGAGTTTCTAACTCACCACATCAGGTGCAGCTTACCAGCCATGTGACCTCAGGGAGGCAACAAAACTTGGTGGGCTTTATCAAGCACTTGGTAGGATGCCTATGTGGCTGCTAGGCTGCATTAGGCCTTGTGGGTTGCAAGTGGTACAGGCATGTCAGAACAGCTCACTCCTGCTTTGTCATGAAGACTGCAGTGTGCATTCCCAAGAGGAATGTGGAAAAGTTATTCTCTTCAACTCTTTTTTTATATATTACGTTTTATTAAGTTTCCAGGCTGCAGAGTTCATGACAAACTGTGTAGTAAAGAGAGAATAAGGCACTGATATAGTGTAGATTACTGCATTAAAACCACTTTTGAAGTGCTCTCTGGATGGGATTACTTCCAAACAAGTAGCTACGGAATTACAGCTTTTTTTTTCATAGATAGGCTGTGTCTGGATCTCTCTTTAATAAGTGAGATAGATATTTCCAATGTTACTTTGAAAAGCCATCCAGTGTGCCTACAGTATGTAACTTTCCCTGTTGCACACATTCCAAATAATGCTTATTGCTTTGAGAGATGCAGGGGCGTATGAAGTGTGGGGCGGAGGGGGTGGGTTGCCCCGGGTGCCACTCTGGGGTTTGTGTGTGTGTGTGTGTGTGTGTGTGACAAGATGGCCCCTGCTTCCCCGCAGCTGTAGAGAGGCTGAGGGTGTGAGCAGTCAGTATGGGCGCTGCTTGTGCGGTGTCTGTATGGGCTGCCGCTCTCTTGCGCCACCCATGTGGGCATCCATACGGGCTGCCTCTTGCGCCGCAGCCCGTATGGCCGCCGCACACGAGTGGCAGCCCATATGGAGTGTGCATGTGCGGCAGCCCATATGGACGTTGTGTGTGCATCACTGGGCGGTTCCTCCCCCACTAGAGAGATGGGCAAGTTACTAAAGTGCATGACAGCATTTCATCCTACGTATAAGTGCCAGTAGAACATTGTTAAATTTGGAAATTTTACTTCTTTAAATCATTCAGTAGCATTTTTCATACTTTAATATATCACGGTTATTTTAGCAATGCGAGCAAGAGTTCGAAATCTTAAGTGGGACCTTACTCCCATGTGAGGAGTTTAGGATTGGGATATGAAGATTTAGTTTACCTGAATGCTTGTCCCAGTTGCCATGACTTCATTGTAGGTTGTTCAGTGAGTTGTTTCTGACTTGATGATGTAGTATTAAAACGGTTAATTTTAACTGGTGGAAGGACAGGGCTAGCTAGCATGATCCCAGTCTGTGTTAGTGTGCTATTAGAGTAGCCTTAGGTAAAGATCTCTTTTCCATGAGAGTTTATCCTTCAGTAAAAAAGTGCAAACATTCCTACAATAAGTCTGGCTACGAGTCTCAAAGTATGCGCCTTGCTAGTGTTTAGCAAGCTATTTGCTTTTAATAATAATAATAATAATAATAATAATAATTTATTATTTATACCCCGCCCATCTTGCTGAGTTTCCCCAGCCACTCTGGGCGGCTCCCAATCAAGTGTTAAAAACAGTACAGCGTTACATATTAAAAGCTTCTCCTGAAAATTATAGGATCTGTCACCTTGTATAGCTGTATGTAGTCATAACGTTGCCCCCACTTTGGGGCTGTGTCGCTGCAATAAAATAATAATAAACTCTTGGGTTCCCAATACCAAAAAAGAGGAAGCTTACACACACAGGAGATGCACAAAAACATTTCAGGCAATATTTAAACCAGAAATGGGAACCTGTGGCCTCCTGGCATTCTTGGACTCTAACTTGCATCACCCTGACTTTTTGCCAAGTGGACTGGCATTGCTGGAGTTGGAGTCCAACAGCCTTAGGCGCTAACATCTAAAAGCAATATGCTGAGTATTCAACTCAGCAGTTTTCTGGTTGGACAGTAATATGCAGATTTTTTCAAAACTACCAAATTTTCACCCACAACCTTTTATCTTGGAAACATCCCCGCTGCTTGTCTTAGTAGCTTCTGTGTATGGGCCAAACATTCACTTTCATCCTCCAAAAGGAGACCCTTGCACAACACTCATTTATTCTGAGTTTCTTTAGCTTGTGCAGGAGAACTTCCTGGACGACTGCACTCTTTGCCAGTACTTTGGCCGTTAACAAGTACATATTCAGAGATTCAAGTGTTGAGTACCATGAGTATTCAAACTTGTGTCCATTAACTGGCTTATTTTGTACAGTAGCCAAACTTTAGCATTCATCAATGGATAAATGTTTTTTTAAACAGGCTAGTTGTCTTTTAGTCTATGGAATTAAAGTGAAACTCTTAATGGCTTAAGAGGCCCTCAGGTCTTTTAAGTTAATAAAGTTTATAACCTTTCCAGACTTCCTGTTATGGACTGTATAGCTGGCAGCTTGATTTGTGAAATGCAGAATAATCAACCATCCAGAAGTCTTAAAGAGAAAGCACACTTGGGCTGCAAGTCTGAATCTCATTATATGTATATTAGATTATACTGGAATCAGCAGGGTTTACACATAACAGAATACAGTGGTAACTCAGGTTAAGAACTTAAT